TTTCATCATAAAATCTATAAATGTAATACACTCTGCAGACCCAATAACTTGACTCTTGATGAATTTTTGATCCCTTCCTGTATCCTACGCTGTGTTCGTGAAGCTCATCAAGAGAAACTCATCAGAATTCAATTACTCTTTCTATAGACAGCCATCTCTTAATTTTTCCGTTGTTCGTCTGCTTATACACTGTTTTTCATCATTACGTTTCATTTTTTCTTTGCTAATATTTCAAACGTATTAAACACTGTTAGGCTATGAAAACTCGGACCAATCAAAAGTATTAATTAAACAAGATAGTTTGAGTGCTAGCGTTCATACAACGCTAGTATATTACCCTAGTCATTCCATTTACGACCAAATCTCTCAGAATTCTGATGGGCAAAAACATCCATTCGTCATATCACCCACAAATTGCTTAGAGCTCCGCGATCAGAGAGTACGTCGTGGTTCATTTTACCAAGCGCGTAAATACTCAGTTGTTATCTTCCATTGCAAATATTACAACCTACGCAAAGATAGAAAGAGGGGAGATATGAGCGTTCAATTTTCATTCACAACGAAAACAAAGCACTTGTTATGAGACTACCCTCTACTAGGACCACAGTTATTATTATGTGGACGTTTTCGCTGAGGCGCACAGTACAGAGAATAACCGTGAATTTAACGAGAGACACGTCAGTGAATATCTTGTGAAAAATCAATCTGTGGCCCTGATACAGAGTATTATGCGACCAACTTCGTGGCGCAATTTATACAAAGATGTGTAAAAAAGAAAGGGCCCCGAGCAATGCTGTCTTGCTTTCAATATTCATTCGTAAAGCGGAAAGCGCTCCGGCTATTAAAAAAACATGGTAAACATCACGTTTTTGACCAGTCCTACATCTGCGCTCTTTAATTACGTATCGAGTAAAGTATTACTCGTTTGTGGTGTGAATTACAATATTATTGACTCTTCAAAGACATGCAAAAANAAAATATCTTAAGAGATTTTAACAGAGTATAGCCATCAATGGAGGTCACGTGGTCTAAAGACAAGCTCAGATATCAGAATAATAGCTATAACAGCCATTTTTGTGGGAAAACAGAATATTTTATATTTCTATGAGTCATTTACAATGTTTTTATTGTGAAATACAGATTTCATACGAAGAGTTATTATCCCTTTAAGTTAGAGAAAATAAACCAAAGATGCATCTCGTTCCACGAAATCCAATAAAAATCAGTGGGGTTTACTGGATCACAAAGAGTCATTGGGATCTCTATAAACATCATTAACCACACTCAGCCGAGTTTTAAGTAGATTTACTTCACGTCTTCAAAGTTTGACCCAAGCGACCACTACGGATCTAATATAGTCTGAATCAAAATGGGGTTTCGCTGTACGCATGGCCACAGGAAGGCAGGATCAAGAAAAAAAACCCACGAGGTCTCAGATTCTATTTTCCCGAAGATTTAGACCCCATTTCCAGAGATTAGATCGATCTACTTTAGATCGACCTAACTCCCTGGGGGTTCACGCTAAATAGCTGTCAGCCGGGCGGACACGAAAGTTAATTACCCCCTTACAGCTTGTAGTAGGCGGGACGGACATTTAAGCCGGATTATCTGACAGTAATCAAGTGAGACTCCCCGCGGGGATAGATCGATCTAAAAGCTCTGGGAAGACAGCCTTAAAGACTATCAGATCCATAACGGTTAATGATATTTATAGAGGTATATTTCCTCTAACTTCACCCAAAAATTGTTTGACCGTAACTGGCCTTGTGTGGACGCAGCCATGATGCCACGATTCGTGGTTTTATTTTCGACTATAACAGACTATGATGGGCTCAGTGACAAGCGTGTCGTAGGTGACTTCGGTCTCGTAGGGTCAAAGACTGACAAATAACTCACCGAGTGCTGCCTTGTCATCTCATCGGGTACGACAAAATTAATAAAAGAATGAAAAAAAAACATTGACAAAAGTAGATCGCAGCTATCAAATAAAAATCATATTAATTAATTAATTTATTTATTTATTAATTTTCACTCCCCCTCTCCGAATGCTCAAATCTGTGATGTTGTCAGAGACGAATGCAAGGATAGCGACCTGGATAGATAAATAGATATACCAGTCAAAATTCAACTGACGACAGTCCTTAAGTCACCATAAAGTGAGACCTTTATACTTTGGTAATATAAGAGACATAACCAAAGGCAAGGGCAGGGCAGGGCAATAATCTTCATAATCACTCTTTATAATCTATGGCAAATGAAACTGTATTGATTTAAAATTCTTGCCAAGCACCAGAACACGAGCGGGAAAGAGCAATGCAAATTTGTTCAGCAGCCGGGCGCAAGACAAGGTGAGAAATGTCACCAAGATAAGGAAACCTTGAATTCTTCTCGCTCCCAGGTGGAAAGTAGGCAAAAACACCACGGCGTCTTCACGTGAAGGTTGACGGGGTTGTTGTGAGGCAGAGGTATTTGTCCTAGGCAGCCTGCTATCAACGCGCATTTACACCCTAGTTTGCTTTCTCACTACATCAGTGCCACATATCTAAAATGATAAAGTTTTAAGGGGTCACAGGCCCGTAGCCAGGGGGGGTCGGGAGGTTCGAAAGAACCTCCTTTTTCCGGGAAAAGGTCTCCTGTGGACAAATTTTTATCTAGGTACACGAAGGTTTCGTGGTAAAAGGTTCATTTTTTAGAAAAAGAACCTCTCCCTTTTGAAATTGCTCAGCCTAAGCTGGGGAAAACAACTTAGGATCCGCAAACCTTTATTCCATGCCACAGAGCTCAGAAAATGAATATTCCAAGTTCCAGTGGCTTACATCCTTGCTCAGAGTAATTTCAACGTGCACAATCAACGCTGCGTTTTCTTTACCGGCAGGGGTAAATAAACACAATTCTAAACGCATCTATCAATTTTTCGTTAATGAAAATTCATGAATCATGTTTAGAATTACGCACATTGAAAAACATGGAGTGGACCCCGACAGCTACGTCTTCTAACGGTCACCCTCTCGTACTGCTCTCTGACCACAGGGTCCGCCAGTAGTCTGTTAGAAAAATTATTGTATTATTATATGTATACTTTGATTTTGAATACTGTTTTACAGGCCCCGATAGCAGAGGGCACTTTTGTACCATCATGTATTCACTCTTCGTTAAAGGTTAGCAGCAACGGCTAGTGTTTTCTTTGGAAATTGTAATATTGGACAGTTACCTTACTATGAATATTAATGGTGCTGACCTACTCTGTATCAGGGGCGCAGATTTTACTATATGTATTACAGTATATGCACTTTTCTCTGACGACTCACTGTGCAGAGAAGTCCTATCATTCAACTGGAGACACATCTGTGGATATCTAATGAAAAATCAGTGTGTGGCCCTGGTAGAGGACAGTGCTGGGCAGAGGCCGGAGGCGAGAAAACACCGGACCAATCGTCCACGCAGCAGGATGACCAAAACGCCCAGCATGTCATAATGTGCTTACTGGTCAGGCGACAGTCTCTGACAGTCTATGTACAACGCAGACACAACTAAAGACGCAAAAAAAATAGAGGGGCAATGGTGCGGGTTTAGTTATTGGCCATGTTGTTCAAAATAAGCTTTGTCTGAGCATTCAGCACGTTTGTCTTCAACTAAACAAATATGATGACTATCGTGTAACATCGCAAAATGGTCCCTCTGCTTCCATGTAAACTTGCCCGACTCTAGTTCGTTTCAAGCTCGCGCCAATTTAACCAGTATAAACGTGCCTTTTTCTTAATGAAATTAAACAGGTATTCTAGCAATGAATAACACCACAAGCGGTCAGTCGGTCCACTGGGTATGATGACCGGGCCTCTGGGTTGACCAGTACACAAACGAAGTTGACTTAAGTTAACACGAGTCAGGATTAACGGCTTGTTTTTCTGCACCCCTCTTTTTTCCTTGTCCAAAAACAAGTTGACGAAGTATAAGACTGTTATTGTTGGTTTTCCTAAGTCACATCTGGTTATTTAAACAATGAAATAACAAAGTTTTCGTGCCCGCGCGAATCGACCCTAATCGTGCAGAATGCTATTTCGCCTGACTCCTGAAGCTATTACTCAATTTCTACTTAGTATATATTACTTAAGTAGTTTTTCTTTGCAGTCTTTAATGTTCTTTTTTAAAAAACTAGTCCGAGTCTATCTGAGAGTTCATTTGCTTTCATCTTACTTCCTCCAATCCATCCTCTTTGACATGACAGAAAATTTAACCTCCTACACAAAGCTCAGTTTTTAAACTGAGTTTTTTTTTTCTTAAAAGAAAAGGATAGGTTTCCTGAAGGGGTAGAACGCTCCTATCTTTTACGAAAATAAGAATGTCAATAATCCACGCCATTAAATAAAATATCACTCCATATACTTCAATTTGCCATTATTATCAGTATAATCAAAATCATATGTTACTCAGAAATTCTTGTTTCACACCGTTTTATTTTCCCTGTTGAGTTATCAAAGATGGAGACCTACTCTAGGGAGGTCAGTTTAACAGTGTGTATAACGGTGTCGTGATAGGCGGCTTGACGGAAATATTTGTCGTATTAAAAGCTTTCGTGACATCTAAACCGCTGGCGAATTGCCCAAAAGAAAATTGATGTTGTCCACTGAAATGACACGGCTATTCGTCTTCCGCCATGGTCTGGCCACTGGGGACGTGTTCTTGTGATTGCGACAGCGGTGCCCGTTGCACGTTAACGCATTGCGTCTTGGACATCAAGCAGCATACACAACAAATACAGCGTGATATCTCTGTCGATTATTCTTAACAATGATCAGATGAGATACGCCCAGCAGTGCAGTTTTTCCAAATGCAATTTCATATTTATCATTTTTTTTTCAATTTTGAAACTTCAATATTGGTGTAGCATATAGAGTAATTCTGGTAATAGTTTAAATCAAAACAAATGATTGGATTTTATAGTGTTTTATATTGTACTTCTAAACGCATTTTAACTTGGATGTATTTACATGTTTTTTCAGCTCTGTGCCAAGCAGACCGCATTCATGTAGAGAAGAAAGAATCGGGGCATAAAACAAAACAGACGACAGTTGACGATCGGGTCGAAGAATTTCTCCGCCTTAACCACTACCCCGGCGGCGCCATTGCTGTCATGAAGCACGGCAAGCTCGTGCATGCTAAAGGCTACGGGACATTTGAAAATGGACACAAAATTCACGCGAGGAGTTTATTCCCGGTGTCCAGCGTTTCAAAATCTATCACCGCCGTCGCCATCTTAAAACTGGTTGAAGACGGAAAACTTGATCTTGAGAGGACCGTTTTCGGTTCCTCCGGCGTTTTGCACTCCATGACCCCTTATTTGGGGAAATTCATAGACCCTCGCCTGACGGATATTACCGTGGAGCACCTCCTTCACCATACGGCGGGCTGGGACGAGACGAAAGCGCCAGTCTACGATCCCACGATGAACTCCCTGTACATATCACTAAAACACAACGTGACTAATATTGCCAAGGTCGTTGGGGCCGTGGGGGACCTTGTGCCCTATCACATATTGAAATTTATGATGAATCAATCCTTACACTTCACACCAGGTACAAAATATCAGTACTCTAACTTCGGTTACATGGTCCTCGGGCGAGTCATCGAAGAGGTCACAGATATGGACTATGACGAGTACGTGCAGGAGAATATCTTCACGCCTTGTGGGATGTGGAAAACCAGGCTTGGCGCCCCAAAGTCACGCAGTCGAGGTGGTAAATCTCGCAAATCAAGGCTCCACAAGTTCCACTTCGACGAAAAGGAAACTATTGTACAAACGAAAGACGGTACCAAGAAGGACGTTCACGATATTATATCTCCATACACGTTGGATTCTACGCTCGGTTGGCACTCCAATGTATACGATATGATGCGGTTCCTGATTTGCGTCGACGGAACAGGTCACACG